TCATATGGGTTAAAGCGGGACACTATGGTACATGCATGTACCAGGCTTCTTGGAGGAGCGTAAGTTCAATATAATCCTGATTTATTTCCTTTATATACTCAAGTTCATGTCTTTTTTCATCAACAATTGAGTATATAATTAATATGTACTTTGAATTAAATTTGATATTTCTTTTTTGTTCTATACAGTAAACTAAAAAATAAAATTGCTCTTGCTTAAGAAAGAGAAATAAACTTCAAACTTGCATGATAAAAGCATTTAACAATAATTATAGAAATGAATCATCACTTAACATTAATGTGTTCCTTATATGCTAGATTATTTGTTTTCTTACTAAATTAGATACTTAAACTTTCTTATTTAAACAAAAAAACATGCATAACCAATGTCTAAGTTTTACCAAACCTCTTTACTTCTTGCTAGACCTATATCTTTATTTCACTAATAGTTAAATTGCATACATTTCAGGGACGATCAAAACCTACAAGATTATATTAACGACAACAAAGACAATTTTGTAGAAGTGGTTTCTCTCCCAGATGGTCGTGTTTCATTACAAATGACCATACTAGGATGCCGGTTTCTTTCATCCTATATTAGATGCTTGACAAAAGCATTTATTACAGGTAGAAGTTGGAACGACAAATTTGAGTTAGTGGACTTCAAATTTGTTGAAGGCCACGTTCGCCACATCAAGAAACCAACGAAACATCCTAAACCTAGTTCAGTGGAAGCTGATATTAATAAGTTTGTTGATAAAGTGAAAAGCATCCTCCAATTCAGTGACATCCAAAATGTAGTCTCAAAGCATCCACCATACCTACAAGCTTGTATGAGGATTTTGGGTGATGTTGTGGGACCTGCTATATCAGGACCTTTAACTATTGTAATCGGTCCCTTGTCAAATAAGTACAAATTACTTCTTGACACGCTTGTCTGTTGTATGACAAGCTATGCTAGGGAAAGACTGATCAACAGTTGTTCCGCAAGTATGAAGGTGCGGACGAAAATTAAACTTTGGTTTGTCAGAGTGCAATAAAAGATGCGAGTTGCTCAGATACATGGCGCAGAGATCTCTCCCAATAGTGTAATATTTGGTCATTTCATTCAGAAAGCAAACGGCGCTAGCAAACCATATTCATTAGGAAAAACTGGTGCCTTTACCCTGTTGAGATATGTTGTCATGCATGCTGCGGATTGCACTGTAAGTTGAGCTTTAATCTTCTTCAATTAGTGTATCTTTTTTATTTACTTTGTTGTGTTCAATTGTGCTATGATACTGGGGAAGGGGGCCTCAGCGAGAGGAACTGTGTTGTAGCATAGTGGTGTATTTATTGGCCCAAATAAAACAAATGTTGTAGGATAACTTCCTTGGTAGATTTCAGCTATAATAATCTTTTTTCTAAAATAAAAGGTGGGCGGGAGAGAGTTTTGCTGATACTTTGCATGGTTTGAATTGGCTTCCTTGTAGTATCTAGAAGCAGAATCTAGACAAAGTAACACCCTCCCAACAGTCAACTTCTCTGTACGTTGCCTTTGTTTATCTCTTTCTTTACTAAAGAATAGAAAAATGAGTTAGAATAGTTGTGACATCGTGTGGCTTTTGTTAATTGTCATCATGTCATGTCATGTTAACTTCATGTTAATCATATAAAGAATTAGTTTGGTCTTGATTGAAAAAGACAAAATAGTTTATTAAAGTTTAAAGTGCAATATCAAACTGAGTTGTTTTTTATTTTCAGGAAAATGCTAATGCACCACAGTTAGGTGATGGAATTGAATTGATGATACCTGCTAATCCTCATTTAGAAGAGTTCCTTCCTAGCATCAAGAATCTAATTGAGAAGAATATTGACATCAGCAGCAGTAGTATGCTTAACTAAACTTCAAATCTTTTAGCCACGTTTAAATGGAAAATCTTAACTTACTATTACCTGCAGGTTGTCGTGACTATTTGGTGTGCTTGCAACATATGTGATTCTTCAAATTAGGTACTCCCTATGCTCTTTTAAGTTTATACTTTGAATCATGTCTCAGATATTTTGGATTTATAATCTAATATTAAAGCACTACTAGTGAGGCCTATTTGGTTTCTTATGTAAACCTTGAGCCAGTCCGGTTGAATAGACTGCTTTTGTTTAGATCTGTGGTCCTCCCCGATCTCAAGTTCGTAAGTTATGGTCTTGTCCGGCCCCTCTCGCACTCCACATGTCCAACAAGTGCAGTGGCACCGTGCCCCTGTGTGACCTTTGTTCTCACATCCAAGTGCAAGGGGATACTGTTACCCCTGCATGATCTCTCTCTTCTATTCTATTTTTTTTTTCCACAGCCAGCTTATAATGAATTTCTGGTGGACAGCGATCTGATCACTAAAGGTGCGTGTGTGGAATGCATAGAAATGTCTCATAGCTAGTCATACAGAAGTCCAGAACGTTATCTCCTATCTAATTTGTATAGAAATTGAATCTGAGTTGAAGAGAAGCTAGTGATACGTGATTTAGCACCAAAACGTCCTATAGCTAGTCATACTTGATTTAGCATCAGAACGTTATATCAAATTTCAAAACGTCCTATAGATAGTCATATTTGATTTAGCATCAGAAAGTTGTATCAAATTTGTTTCCTTGTTGGATGTTCTTCACCTATTAGTTTACCCATATTTTTCTTTTGCTGCGATTGATAATAAATAATCTGGAGCCTGTCCTAGGGAACTTGGCATATTCTGAGAATATTCAGGTGTGTTTGTCAATTTGTTCAAAAGTATACTTCCTTTTTTAACCAAAAGTTGAATATAGAGATGATATAGGCTTGCAAGAGGACAACTTACATAAACAATGGCAGGGTTGCAATATCTTATGGTTTATGCATAAGGCAGGCGTTAGGTCTGATGCTTGCAGGAAGTGTTACTATTGGGAACTTTCTAAATTTTTTATATGAAAAGCGTCATCTTTTGATAGCTACTTATAATGTTTCAGTTTCAGATATGAATTTTTGACACTGTTAAGGTTTGTAGATGGACAGTACCATCTTTTGATGCTACTTATAATAATGTCTCCGTTTCACCTGTGAAGATAAGACATTATGTTTGCAGATAGACCCTGTCTGAAGCTTTGCTTTTTTATCATTGCAGGTGGATCCAAAGGTTTTCGTTACAAGAGCGCATGGGTTCTGTCCATGGATTGATGCTGGCGTTAGTGTTCTGTTTGTGATTGATGTCATGCCTATTGTTTTTGCAAACAAATCTAATCATACCTATTCGTATTCAGAATGTTGTGACTTAATCAGGTTTTATGCTATTCGTATTCAAACTGTTGTAACTTAATCATGTTTTATGCTACATTCGTAGATGAGCGTTAATTAGACCTATGTATGTATGATACCTCTGATTCTCTACTTGGTCCAAGTAGTACATACTTTTATCATATTATTAGCTACAAGCATGCTTGTTCACTATTTTCATACCGTACCTCGGTAGCTTTGACATTTTTCTTTTTGGAGCATTTTTTTTCACTTCAACAAATCAATTTCCTGCTTCACCTCAAACAGAGGCAATGTCTTGCACTGACATGCTCATGGTGATCCTGCCACGAATCACACGAAACATAGCAGTTGGATTGACAGTTGAATTTAGTTTAAGCACGTGGAAAGATAAGTCTTTTTTGGGTGGGGGGAGGGGGGAATACCGAATACCCCTTGTAGCTCAACCATGAGCACTTTCATCTCCTTCGGTAACCTGCATTCCATGTTTCGCCTGTCATTTCATCACCATTAGCTGCATGATATATGTTCGTGGGACAGTATGTCACTAATTTCAGTCAGCAGGCTACTGGTTTAGATTACCTGTCTCGATCAGCAGGCCCATCACCAAGACCTTGCTGTCTACATCACCGCTGCATGGATGATAAATACAAAGACTGAGACCTCTGAGAAAGAGAGTGATGGATGGATGTTAGCGCGTGTTTAGTTGGATCCTAAATTTCAAAAAGTTGCTACAGTACCTGTCACATCGAATGTTTGCGGCCTATGCATGGAGTATTAAATATAGACGAAAAAAAAACTAATTGCACAGTTTGGTGGGAAATTACGAGACGAACGTTTTAAGCCTAATTAGTCCATGTTTGAACACTAATTGCTAAATAAAAACGAACGTGCTACAGTAGCCCCAAATTCCAAGTTCGTGAAACTAAACACGCGCTTAACCGTGTACATTAGCACGACTTTCAGATTCGCCTGCAGTACGTGACCTTGATGTCCTTCTAGACAGCTGCTGTCGCTCGGTACCACTACAGCGGACATGCTCGCCGGTGTTGTCGCCGTGGGTTCGCGGAGGTCCTCGTGCCATTCAAGCCAGCGGTCCACCTACTAACCTAAGTCAACGCGCCGCTCGACGACGTGCTGGCCATTGCCCTATTCTTTGCATTTTTTCTTTATAAGTCGTATTTTTTTAACCAGCGAATAATATTTTTCTCTCACACTAAGGCCCCGTTTGGCTGGCTGAATTTTGGCTGAAAAACATTGTTCTGGCGGAATTATTGTGAGAGAAAAACACTGTTCCGCCTGAAAAAAGAAGCCGAACAAGCCAGATATGGGGTAAGCCGAACGGGGCTCAAATCAGCCAGCAGTACTTTCAGCCATGACTTATCAGCCAAACAATTAAGCCCAAACGAACAGGGCATGAAATTAAACTGCCATTCTTGTCGCGGAGTGTTTCATCGAGCACGATCTACGGCAACCTGAGAAGGCCGGGGACTACTCAGCTACCACTAATGTATATCAGAAAGAAAATAAATATAGAACGACTTTGATTTGAATTTTAAATGTGGTTCGGTTTGATTTTGACTTTTTCTGCACAAACAATTGGAGCTGAAATGAAAGAATCAACAGGGTAAAACTGTCATTTTCCAATTTCCACTGACCATGGACATGGAGACTTTCCCCGATCCGCCAATCACCATCCTAACCCTAACCGTGCTGCCGTTGGTCACCGCCGTGGCGGCGGCATGGAAGAAGCGGAGAACGGCACCAGGAAGCGCGCCCCCGGCAATGGCGTGAGGAAGCTATCTCCTTCTCCGACTAGGGCCCCCAGTTCGGAACAGAGGAATCCCTCGGCCTTGCCTCCGCCGCCGCGCGTCCCTAGGTGGCTGATCCTCGACCGCATCGTCCACCGCAGCAGCAGGAGGCGCTGCGGGGTCGTCGAAGACGACGCCACGGCCTCGGCGCTCGCCCACGACTGCGCCGGCCGCCCCGTCCGCGCCTCCCTCAGGATCGCCGACCCTCCCGCGGTCTCCCGTCTCTACCTCCACCTGACGGGCAGGCCGGGGATCAGCTTCCGGGAGCCCACCGCCATCGCAGCCCACCGCAATTCCATTCTATTCCGGTTGACTGTCCCCTTCGAGGATCCTACGTGGTGGCACGACAGCTACTCCTTCCCCATCGACTACTTCGTCTACTCCTGCCGCTCCTCTTCGCCGCCTTCACTGACTCTGCTTCCCCCCTGCTTCGACGGTGGCCACATCAACCCCCAGCTTGATAAGTTCTGCAAACCACATCGGCAGCAGCGACAGCGCAGCATGTTGCCCGAAGATATGGGTATCCTCTGCCATGGCGACGAAGGCGAGTTCACGGTGGCACAACTCATGTTTTCCGAGCGCTATGAGATTGAGCTATGCCTGCTGCACAATCCACCTCCTGCAGGATCTTCAATGGAATGGAATGTTAAGAAGGTGCAGATCCCTCCTGACACGAAGATAAACACCTACTTGTGGATGACTGATGCCGTCTTGCCCATTGGTACATGCCTGTGCTGGGTCGACAACTACCAGGGCATGCTGCTCATTGATGTCCTCACTGACAGCAACAGCAACCCAGATCATCAGCAATGGCTCCGTTACATCCCTCTGCCTAAAAAGGCTTTGAAGTCTCAACGCCTGTACAAGGATGCAGACGAACCTGACCCGTTGCGCTCTGTCCGTGTCACTGACACTGGCATCATTAAGCTCGTCTGTATTCTTACCGAACGTCCTCCTTTCACCATAAAAGCATGGACTTTGGATGACATCCATGAAGGCAGATGGACAATGGATCTCAGCACTTCAGCCTGTTCGGTTGGCTGGTTCGTTTCGTTGCTGGTTCGTGAAGAAGTACTGCTGGCTGGTTTGTATGAGAGAAAAATACTGTTCCGGCTGGAAATTTACGATCGTTTACGACAAGCCACAGCCAAACGAACATGCTGAGCAGAGGAGTTCTTCTGTCTTCTTGGCGCTGGCCACAGTTGCAGCCAAGTTTTCCTTTGGTTAGCTTGGTTTATCCAGATGTTATCTGCTTCCTGCTCAAGGACAAGGACCGTGGCCTTTTCTGGATGATTGATGTCAACATGAGGAACAAGAAGCTGCAGTCAAGCGCCCTCTATATCAGTGAAGAGGAAGAAGAAGATGGATACCCCCCTAAAAGGAGCCGCAGGAACAATTTCTTTGGTCAATACTAAATGGGAACCGGAGGGAAAGGGTAAGTGGGAGGCGGGGAGGAGCAATGCGAATGTGCTGGGGAAGGGCAGCACAAAAGCGGGAGGCGGGGAGGAGCAATACTAAATGACTGTTGCTGCTGCTCGGTGCCTCTCTATGGGCAACTGTAGCAAGACCGTATTCAAGTTCCAACTCGAAGGGCTGGTGGGAAAAAAAAAACACTCCACTTAATGCAACTCGGGCAAAGTCCCTGTCCAAGCCCCTACTTCAGTCGTCAAAATTAGAAGACAGGATGGATTCGGGTCAGATTCGCACGGATACGAATTCGGATACTACTATTTATCACATTTTAAATCAGATTTTAGAATATGAATATAAATATTATCATATACTAATGCAAAACGGACATGTCGAATCAGGATTCGAATTCAGATATCTACTCGATTTTGAAGATAAGATGTACCTATTTGTTTATTATAGTTTCTTATAATAGAATAAAATCATTACGGATGAAGAGATTAAAATATAGCTATATAATACCATGAATAAAAACAACTACCAAAAATAAATTATTTTAATTGATATTTCAGTAATTAAATATATTAATACATATTAATTACTAAATTTAAATACATAAAAATAAATTATATAAATACATAAATAAATACTATTTGATATGATTATCCATATTAAAATTAATTAAACTTAAGATTTGTATTCTTTTAATAATAATAAAATTACATAGATAACTTTTATATAACGGTACATATCATTTGTTACATTAAAATTATTTTCATTTAAATAGTTAATGAGTCATAATTTTAAGATTTATATGGTTTCAGAATAATATTTACTTCGCGGATAAGAATAATATTGGATATTTCACATTTTTGACGAATATGGATGTGAAATCGAATAGAGAATAATCTTCAAAAATGAATGCAGATATGTCTATTTAACATCCATATTTAAATCGAATATCAATACGGATTTTTTATATTCACACTAAAACAAATACATATATCGGATTTTTGGATATATGGACATCCGGATATGTTCCTACTTAGATTCTTCTCGAAGCCCCCATTCTTGGGAGCCCTCGAGGGAGGGGGTCCCTATTTCTATTTTCCTACGGTTGGAAGCTCGTGCTTGTACGGATTCTCCTCCAGCCCGACTGCTCCCTCTCTTGTTTGTTGACACCGACGACCCCTCCAACAGTCCCTATGACTTAGTTCTAGTGCAAACCTGCCTTCGTCTCGGTGCTTTCCCCTGCTACCAATGCGAATTCACCACCCTCACAGCAAGCAAGGTCCCCGGTGCCGACCTACCTCCTCCCCGGCACAAGCTCCGTCCCGGTTTGGCTCCCTCCTCCATAGCGCCCCCTCTACCGATGTGGCTTCTCCCTGAGCCCTACCTCGTCCCGGCACGGCCTTGACCCCTCTCCCCACGTCCACTCTTCCTGGCACAACAACATTGGCTCTCGTTGCGGTGCGACCTCTCCTGACATCCCCCCTCGCCTGTCTTTGCCTCACTCTTGGCGCACCCCCGACCACTATGTTCCTTCTCCACCGCCATGTGCCTCCTCCCCTGCATTCATAGCTCGACACAGGTTGATTGATGTGATTAACTTTGTTTGTAAAACTATGTTTGTGATGGTATCTTGACATTTATTTGCTTTTTAAATTTTGAATTGACATTTCAAATTTGTGTTTTTAATATTTTCAATTGTATGGGGTACAAAAATTTTTGTTGAATGCATCTTAGGTAAAATAGGTACAATACACATAGAAAGTAAGAAAAGAGACAAAACAGGAAATTAGGGCCTTGATTTGGGTTCTATTGCTAGAGTTGAGATCATAAAATACAGCCCTCCAAATTATGGGTAGCCCTCGAATTCCAAGTAGGGTCCCTACTTTTGGGAAATTGCTAGAGTTGATCTAGCCCATTCAGGGAGAAAACGGTGCTCCAAATCTCGGTCTCAAGGTATCCACAAAGCCGCAAAAAATATCATCGCCCATTCTGGAACGAAATGGTGAGACCAGGTCAACAAGTCAAGTAGTCCGGGCATGTACGACAGGTGATCCGTGATCTCTGCCTTAGAAGCTCCTGCGGCTTTCGCCAGGCCCACAAATGTAAGCCGACGGTGAGCACAAAACTTGATGGAGCCATCAAGAATGGTTCTGTAGAATGCAGCCTGAAGTCTAGTCCAGAACGGCGTTCGTGCGGTCCCTCTTGGTTTTGCGAACCACTCCTCCAGGGCAAGAAACCGCAAGGAACCGAAACATGAATTAGTTGTTGGTCATAAAACACTTGGTTGTTTAGATAACATTATGGTATTGAAGGGTAGGAAGCTTTGTACATAGTCCCTCGGTCACAAATAGGTGGTGCTTTTTGTTTGCGGCGATTTGAAGTCAACTTATTGAAATACTTTCTCCGTTCCAAAAAGAATAAAAATCTCATTTTAGAAGGAGTCAAGGAATCTTAAGTTTGACTAAACTTGTGGGAGATATTATCTTCATTTAGATATCCAGATAAATTTATTATAAAAATATATCACACATTTAATCTAATTATACATGTTACGTATCGTAAATATCAATACTTTTTATATGTATTCGGTCAAAAATTAAAATCTTTGACTTTTTGGAAGGTAGATTTTTTTTGGACGGAGGTAGTATTAAGCATAATTTTTTTTTTAACTTAACAATGGTCCTGTTCGCTTGTCTTATAATCCGTACTTTTCAGCTTGTTTGTTAAGCTGAAACAGTGTTTTTGTCTCACAATAAATTAGCCGTAACAATTATATATTCAATTCAAACATGTACTAGTAGAAATCATCTGATAGTTAAAAGAGAAAATTCCTTCATTGTCATTGAAAACTATAACAATCCCTTCCATTGCCATTCAAAATTACATATCCCCTTCGTTGACGTCAAATTTAGATTTTCCGTTCCCTCGTCGCCACTGTAAACAGGGGAGTCAGGGCGTGACTTCGCTCCCATACCCGACGTCCAACCGCCTCGCAGCGTCGCCCTCCGCGTCCACCTTCTCCGGCGCAGTCTTGCAGCAGCGCCTCCACGACGCCTCCGTCATCGCGCACGAGGACAACGCCACCGCACCGGGCATGACTGTTGCGACCGCGCACACGACTCAAGCCCCAGCGTCTGCTCGTCGACCACATCGCGAGGCCGGCCGCCGCCGTCCGACGGTAGCCTGCTGACGCCTGGCGCTAAGCGGCATCACCGCTCCATCCAAGATGGCGGCGGTACTCAGGGCGCTGCCTCTGCTCGCCATCCCTTCCTCCCGCCGCCGGTGGCCGCTCTGGTGGCGCTCTCCTCCCTGGCCAGCCGTGTCAGCGCTCGCTTCGACGACTGCTTCAAACTGAATCATGCCACCTGCACTGGAAAAGCACTGAAAAGCTGAATTCACACATCAGATCAGATAATAACAAGAAACAATGTGTGCAGGCAGTATTGAATAGATCCATCGATCATCAGAACGCATACAAAAACATTAGTAGGACGATGACTGGGAATTTTATCAAACACATGCAGATCATGCATCAAGCTCCAGAAGAACAGCACCAGCCTCCCAGTAGAGAGAATCAACTAACAGACTGATGCTAAATTGCTAACTCGAAAACTGCAATCTCTAACACGATCAGAGCTCGTCGTGCTTGTACTTCTGCTGATACGTCGTGTACCGTGGGCCAGCGGTGGCGCGGTAGTTGAGCCTGCGGTGCTCCCAGACGGCCGCCGCGATCGCCTCCTCGGGGAACTCCGTGCAGTACGTCTGGTGATGCTCGCCGGCGGGGCAGTGGATGTAGTAGCCCTCCCTGTAGTCCAAATGCGCGAGCTCGATGTAGCAGATGTTGGCGCCGGAAGCTGCAGCAGCGCCCGGGTCGGCGACGGGAAGATGGACGCGCCAGGTGTTCCTCCATGGTAGGATTGACAGGTCCCCTTCGAGCGTGCTCACGATGCAGTAGATGTGGAGGATGTCGTTCCCACGCCCGTGACGCTGCCCGTTGAGCACGGAGAAGAGGCGCTCGGTGGAGTCAGCGTGGCAGAGCGGGTGCAGGCACACCGCGCCGAGGTCGAGGTCCCGGTTGGGTCGTGTGTGGTCGATGGAGTTGGTGCCGTTGTCGTAGGGGTAGATCGTGCAGGTGGCATGATTCAGTTTGAAGCAGTCGTCGAAGCGAGCGCTGACACGGCTGGCCAGGGAGGAGAGCGCCACCAGAGCGGCCACCGGCGGCGGGAGGAAGGGGATGGCGAGCAGAGGCAGCGCCCTGAGTACCGCCGCCATCTTGGATGGAGCGGTGATGCCGCTAGCGCCAGGCGTCAGCAGGCTACCGTCGACGGCGGCGGCCTCGCGCGCGCGTGTGGTCGACGAGTAGACGTTGGGGCTTGGAGTCGTGTGCGTGGTCGCAGCAGTCGTGCCCGGTGCGGTGGCGTTGTCCTCGTGCGCGATGACGGAGGCGTCGTGGAGGCGCTGCTGCAAGACTGCGCCGGAGAAGGTGGACGCGGAGGGACGCTGCGAGGCGGTTGGACGTCGGGTATGGGAGCGAAGTCACGCCGTGACTCCTCCCTAACAGCAGTGACAACGAAGGAATGGAAAATTTAAAACTGATGAATTGTTATAGTTTTCAATAGCAACGAAGGAAGTTTCTCTAGTTAAAAAGTATGGAGAAAGTGCAATGATGCGTGGCGCGCAAGCTGCTGCTGGTCCGTGCCCCGGCCGCCTCCTCTTTGTCCGTGCAAGCTGCCCATCAATGGTGTGCCCAGTGTACGCCTGTGCATGCATGCACCTTTTTCGCCCGCAACAACGGCTGGCCAGTCTAACCAGTCAAACAACGGCTCTGGGCTGTCTGCTCGCCTGCCTGTGGACACGGCAAGCCAAAAACACACAGCGCACAAGCCAACCGGAGCCGCGTCATCAGGAAGCGCAGCAGGGCAGGGCCAGACTGCCCAGACAGACCGACGACGCTGTGGCCTCTAATCACAAGTCTCAGTTCTCCAGTACTAGT